ATGACAAGCATGATCATTTCTGACGTGGAGCTAATCTGAAGTAAACATTGAATACTGCTTTCCATTCCTCCATCTTGTGACTGTGTAACTCCCTCTCTTGGATATCAGCGTGAAGGACACTGCTCAGGAACTAGTTGATGCTCTGTATGTGACGACTACTTCCATTCTGGAGAGGATCACAGATACATGGGTCCTGAGGTTGAAGCTCAAGCCCGTGACGAGTGAGATTGTTCTAACAATTTCCAATAAAGGTTATTCTGAAACATAACTATCGCTGTTATCTTTCCTTCTATAACGGTAATGTAGGCCAAGAAAAACTTTGCATTGCATAATATTTAAACTTACATTCAGGCACTATAAAGTAAGCCAAAAATATGTCAAGTTGGGGCTTAGCCCACCAAAAAGTGCATAGTTGCAATTTAGGCAGTTAAGCATTTTATATTAGTGTATAAAATGGTGCAACACGGAAGGCAGTCAGAATTGCTAAGACACAGGTGTCACATGAAATGTAAATGTTCTGGAAAGTTCCTTATACAGCTTCAGCCTTTTTTATCTCATGAAGTCCCTAAGTGACACACCCTGAACAGTCTGGTGGGTCATGGTCCTTGTCATTTGCTTTTGTGTTCCCATAACAACATGTCCAAGATGTCCATGTGCCAGGCTAACACATGTGACAGAACTAGCTACATTTGGAAAGGTTTTTTGTTGCTAAAGTTAACATTCAAGCCATTTAAGAATAAAAATGCTTACATGCCATTTGTTAAACATTAAGCTGTCTTCGGCTCTTTTCGGCTGTAACTAATTGAAATGTCCCCTCTGTGGGACGAATTCTTTCACACACACATACGGGTTTTGGGCCGAGGGCGACACTGTACTTCCGGTATCCACCATTTCACACGAGGTGCAAGCAGAATATCATAGTCTATTGCCTTAATCAATATCTAGTCAACTCTAAAATACCACATATATGCATTGGCATGATAATATTATTGTGACAAGTGGGGTATTCACCTGGTGTTTCTAGAAGACAGACGTAGATGCTGCCAAAATCGACCGAAGGCCACTTTCGAGAGTCGTTTTTCCATACATCTGCAGGCAATCGGACAACCCACACAGCTCTAGTTTACGCTGGTAACGACCTAGAGCACACCCCTCAAGTCCAGAGATGTAATCCGAAGACATGCAGCGATTTCTTCGGTCGTTAATTCAGAAAAAAAACCTAGTGCGCTCTGCCTGGTTACATTACCTAGCTGTTTATATTAGCACCTCCAGGATATTAGCACCTCCAGGAAAATGGCGTATTTCTATATAGATATATGGCGCGCGTTGCATTGTGGGTAGCTCGTGATGTCACTGTGTGTGAAAGAATAAAGGTATTCTGATTCTGATTACATTTAACCTGTTGTGGAAACATTTCTTGATTAAATCGATATGAAACAAATGCCATAAATATTGCTGTGACACTGGTGTCACATCGGGACTTTAGCCCTAAACATTCACAGTAAACCCGGAGTGACATATATGCACAATTAGAAATAAGATTATGATCTGGTCAGTTAATTTAGCTGATTCAATTATATTTAGTTAACATATTCTTTATTCTTCAATTCAAAGTATGTTCAAACAAATGTAAACCAAAAAATCATCCTCGTTAATTAAGTTATAAATAAGAGTTACTTTACCATTGAAGCGCAGATATATGACACTAGGGGGGGTTACTTGTCAGAAATGTGTTCTAGGTGGTCTATTTAGTCTAAATGACGTTCCCCTTAATTTCCCCAAAAGTAGAAATGGGTCCGGGTATCTTATGGGTTAAACGTATAGGCTTAAAGGCATAATAGAAATACTGTATATATATTCAACTTGTGCCCCGCTGGACTTACTTTTCTGTGGTTGACCGTTACTGTGACATATCACTATAGCCATGGAAGATAGTTTGTGTGTTTCATTCCCATGCATCAAGATTATTTTCATATAGCCTAATTGTTTTTCCTGCACAGTATAGAGTCTTGTTGTGATGAGAGGGATACAGGTATTTCATTAAAAAAACGTGCTCCCTGGAGAATAGCTACAGAATTTATATCACAATTTAATCGGAGCTGATCACAACTTGTCATGAGTGATCCAGTCATCTCGATGAGCGTTCGGGCTGTGAATAAACAACTTGTGTTTTACTTTTAGGCTGTCTGAAGGTATGGACAGCTATCAAAGCTACTATACATCACATTAAGAACGATGTACAAATGAAAGTCGGACACAAATATATAATTTAAATGATTTATTCAAGTTTGCGATATTTTGAACAGGCATCCACACAGTCACCTACTTTGTAATGTTCGATACCTCCCTGTAAGCGTCACGATATCCACCTCTCACCCACAACCTCACATACGAGTACTGAATGTGCATCAAAGTGATCGTAGGAAGGCAGATATAGCAAAAGATGAACGTAAACGACAAACGTGGCGATCGACATGTTTATACAGTCGGCGTCGCGTCACAGTTGGGGGCGGGGCATTTCGAGGGGGAAAACAAAACTTTCCCCCTCGCCCGGAGCACTGTAAGCGCGCGGATTTTAAATGTTAAACAAACATGTCATACATTGATTCATTTCAGCCCATTTACAGGGATAGATACCTTAACATTTTTTATTTAATAGGATCGGATTCTTGTCCATATCTTATTAAAGAGTGGACGAATGATCCGACTGAATGGCCTGAAGTTTCATTCCCTGATATATTCTGCTACCTGGTTGAATCACCCGGTAAGAGGCAAAATCATAGTGATGGCAAAATGAAGCTTTGAATGAAGCGTCGAACCACTTGGACAATTGTGTCGGAAATAGGTTCATTTCTCGAAGCTTCAGTTACAGCGACCTCTCCTGGCGAAGTGCAAGGCTGCAGTGGGTTTAACGTATCTTTGCCTTGAAAAATATTCGATGCACACACACACTAAGACTGAATATCATGTTCTATTTGCAATTAAAGATTGATAATTGTGTGTATTGGGTTATTGAGAAGAGACTAGAGAGTGCTAGACATGTTTTTGGGCCTTTTATCAGTTATTAAAGTTGAAAAGCAATGATTAAAATACGTCCATTCCGGGATTTGAACCAGCGGAGGACATCGCCGTATTCGGGCCGCCGGCTGTACCCACTGGGCTATCTATTGCTTGAAATATTGAACTGTTTTTATATTACTGATAATTGTCTTTTTGTTCACAACTTCTCCACATTTCGAAGTGTTTCCCGAGCCAGAACGACCTATCTTTCTTCCTGGCTTGCTCTATAATGATATCAAATGCAATACCAACAACAACTCAACAGCAGCAACGCAAACTACGACAACAACCCACACATTGTGCATTGTTTAGAGCGGTCATAAAGTGTTGAAGCACTCAAGTTTGAAACTGTTTCAACCTGTCAGAATCGAGAGAGGCAGTGCATTGAATCGCGTGAATGGACCGTGAACCAGTCAAGTGATTCATTCAGGAAATTAAGCAGTTGCTGCTTCGGACGTCACATGTCACGTGATTTGAAGCAGTTGCTGCTTCGGACGTCATATGTCACGTGATTTGAAGCAAGCTTCGAAGCACTGCTTCTATGGAATAGGAAGTCCAGGGTTGAAGCTCCGTTCGAAGCTTCAGTGTCAAACTGCCATCACTACAAAATCACGTTAACTGATGAATTAAACCTCACATAATTTATATGTCTAACAAGGAAATTAGCACGTTTTAGTGAATTTGTTCATCACACAATGGTTGTTATTTCACAATAGCCATCATGAGCTGCATATACATATTGGTTATGGACGACTCGGTACGTTATATCACGCAGGGATTTACACACACACGCCTAAAGAACTATCGGTCCCTGGAGGCACACAACTTTTTTACAAGTGGCTTTGTTGGAGTTGTGCTCCATCATAAACTACCTTCATCGGATACCTACCTGTTCCGATGTGATGTAAAGCTATCCTGGAGGGTGACAGAGAAGCCGCAAAGGCTGGCTTCCGCATCTGCCAAACTATGCCATACCTGGGGGTTTCATGTGATGGCTATGTTTCCTGTGACTGCTGTGGTGAGGGTGTTATAGAGGCTAAGTGTCCTTACAGGTGGGGGCAAGACACCTCTACTGGGTATCAACAGTGGCTTGAGGACAAAAGAGGACATCTGGAAAGTCTGACAAGCTTAAAGAGAAGTCATGCATATTTCACTCAGGTATTTCAATATTTCACCTGCACACCTCTAATAAGTCTGCAGCATTTTGTGCAATTATCCAAGATAATTATCCACAGATGGCATACTGTCTATAATGTACATATTAGTGTTATGATGATTGCATTGCATTTGATAGGTCCAAATGCAGATGTTTGTTACCAAACGGATGTATGCAGACTTCATCACTTGGACTCCTCAGACCTGCCTGATATTCAGAGTACAAAGAGATGAGGACTTCATCAGTGGTGCCATTAATGTGATGCAAACATTTTGGACACAACACATACTACACAAACTTCGGGAGCTGAAAGATGCACAGGTAGGTGGTTGAATTTCCTATCAGTGTAAACATGGCAACAAATAAGTCACTGTGACAGAGTTACATATTTATTTATACCAATTCATTTTGAAGCATATTATAGCTATTTCATTCAGTATCAACATAGACTACTAGACTATATGTACAAAATCAAATATCACAAAGCCTATACATTTATTTACAACATGAAAACATACATAGGCTACAAATAGAATGAATAATGGGCTGTACAATATTGTCTATACTTGTGACTTTGATACTAATCAGATAATAATTGTTGATATTGTTGATCAAATTGTTCTTGTCTTATTTTCAAAGTGGGTGTACTCATTTATGATAACCACTGTATATGTTTCTGCTAAGTAGGCAGAACACAGTCCAGTCGAAAGCAGCACAGGGAGTGACCCATCAGGCAACACAAGTGGCAGCAGAACATCAGGCATCAGAGGCAGAGCGTCAGGCATCAGAGGCAGAGCGTCAGGCCATCAGAGGGCAGGTGGACAGGCATCAGAGCAGGGTGACAGGCATCAGAGGCAGAGCGTTCAGGCAACAGAGGCAGAGCGTGCAGGCTGACAGAGGCAGAGCGTCAGGCGACAGAGCAGAGCGTCAGGCCATCAGAGGCAGGGTGACAGGCATCAGAGGCAGAGCGTCAGGCGACGAGCCAGAGCGTCAGGCATCAGAGGCAGGGGACAGGCATCAGAGGCAGAGCGTCATGCATCAGAGGCAGGGTGACAGGCATCAGAGGCAGAGCGTCAGGCATCAGAGGCAGAGCGTCAGGCATCAGAGGCAGGGTGACAGGCATCAGAGGCAGGGTGACAGGCATCAGAGGCAGAGCGTCAGGCATCAGAGGCAGGGTGACAGGCATCAAAGGCAGAGCGTCAGGCATCAGAGGCAGGGTGACAGGCATCAGAGGCAGAGCGTCAGGCATCAGGGCAGAGCGTCAGGCATCAGAGGCAGGGTGACAGGCATCAGAGGCAGGGTGACAGGCATCAGAGGCAGAGCGTCAGGCAACAGAGGCAGAGCGTCAGGCAACAGAGGCAGAGCGTCAGGCGACAGAGGCAGAGCGTCAGGCGACAGAGGCAGGGTGACAGGCATCAGAGGCAGCGTCAGGCATCAGAGGCAGGGTGACAGGCATCAGAGGCAGAGCGTCAGGCGACAGAGGCAGAGCGTCAGGCATCAGAGGCAGGGTGACAGGCATCAGAGGCAGAGCATCATGCATCAGAGGCAGGGTGACAGGCATCAGAGGCAGAGCGTCAGGCATCAGAGGCAGAGCGTCATGCATCAGAGGCAGGGTGACAGGCATTCCAAGGCAGAGGCAGGAGACCAGAGCGTCAGGCATCAGAGGCAGGGTGACAGGCATCAGAGGCAGAGCGTCATGCATCAGAGGCAGGGTGACAGGCATCAGAGGCAGAGCGTCAGGCAACAGAGGCAGAGCGTCATGCATCAGAGGCAGGGTGACAGGCATCAGAGGCAGGGTGACAGGGTGTGCAGCAGCAGAGCAGCACGGAGATCAGTTCAGGGACCTGTGGAAAGACAAACAACAGGTGGTTTTGATTAGAAAGATCCATTATGTCTCAACTGAAACCTGTTAATGGCACAATTGGAACAATAATGACTTCTTTGTTGTATAAAAAAGTTGCATAAAATATTGTTCTCTGATGCTCATTATTAAATTACTGCACATTGATTTTGTTCTTACTCTCAGATTCTGTAACGGTTGTACATGACAGTGCCAGACAGGTTCATTAGTGCTGCACAGACATGCACAATCCTATCAATCATGGCCTCTTCTCTCTTCTGTCTCTCATCCTGCAGTCTCTTCACCAGGCGCAGAGGAAGTGGGCCATCCAGAATTTAGTACCGGCTCTTCAGGGCACCAATTACTCTCTCTGCAGACCACATATCACATATTTGTTGTTAAAATGCTGTTTAGCTACATTGTTATGTTCGAGTTTCACAGGAGTAGCACAGTTGACCGTTATATCATATCGTCAGTGCATTGTGTCCTATAATTAGTGTTTATTTTTCATGTTAAAGTGAAGAAAGATCCCTGTTAACTTCCTGTTATCCTGTTCTCTTGATATTGCACTAAATGTGAACAACAGTTCAATGTATTTAAATATAGAATAACATGTTTTTAAGATAAAATGTTATCTTAAGACACCCTACAAAGTAGGGATTACACATGTACTCGTTGATGTGATTAATTGAATAACGTCTCAGCACTTGTTAACCCGGATCTGTACTGTTACAGTAATTAATTTAGTTAGGGAAATGTGAACCACGTCAGCGGCAAGTAGCAACAGTGATTTGATGATGCAGCACACTCTGAATACCAAAAACATTAAAATGTTACTGTATGAATCTGACTGCTGATTCTATACTTACCAATGTGAATTCTGATGTTCGAAGTCACACGAGAATTTGCAACATCTTCGGCTGACAGTTGTTTTCGGCCCCTCGTGAAAGACGGTGTGATGAGCACCCAGAACAGCAAAGTCATCCTTCAAAGTGAAGCCCCTGTCGGCTAAAATCTGAAATAAACATAACAAATACTTAAAAACACTACTTTACTTCAACAGCAACTCAAAAATGGTAACTATGGGTAAATAATAAATTCACAAATAAGACTTAAAGGGGACCTATCATGCAAAATGCACCTTTGGACGTCTTTTATACATGAATATGTGTCCCCGGTGTTCCAGGGAACTCACCAAGTGTCAGAAAACACAACCCTCTCTATTTTCCTCCTTCGCCAAATCTCTAAAAAAGTGGCTGAAACGGATCTGAAAAAAACGGATCCAGATTTCAACACTTTCCTACGTCACAAAGAGACGTGCTCCGCTTATTGGTCAACTCTCCACCTATCAGGGGAATGAGCCACGGCCACGTGCATTGCCGGGATCAATACCAACCATCCGGGAGCAGGCCAGTGAGGACACATCCAATTTTGAAGGTGTAAGTTTTTATTTAGCGGTGTTTTTCCTGATAAAGCTATCTCTTGCTTGTAGTATGTAGCATGTAGCATGTAGCTTCGCCGTATCAATGTCGCCTCAAACCCAAATAGTAATCGGTTAGGTGTGTATATGTTTTTATAACATTTTATATTGTACGCTCCGCAGTCTTTGCTTTGTCTTTTATTTTAATTATCAGGCATTTGCTAACATGTTCAGACATACTGCCGTAATGGCGATCTGTGTGAAGGCTGTAAAGCCACGCCCTAGCCGATAACACAAGTATTTATTCTCCTATTTATTAGTATTTTGTATCCTCTAAAATCATATTGAGTAAGTTATAATAACAAACGTAATCTTCTGTAGGTAAGTGCCGTTTTTTGCAGCGTTATATGTAAAAGCTTTTGTGATTGTAGTCTGTAAGAACGATCAGATATCATCGATCTGTAAGCTACGCTACGCTAATGAGACATGCCGTTTTTTTGCAGCGTTATATGTAAAAGCTTTTGTGTGTTTACTTGTTATACATGAATATAAATGGGGGTGTGTGAGGATACAACACTGTGTGTATGTATGCGAGGGGGGGACCACACACCACGAGTTAAAACGGAGCTAAAGCCCCGTTGGTATGTTGTTGTGACAAGGCCTTACCTAGCAACAGGGCTAATTAGTGGCTAGCACTCATTACAGTCAGTCTACTGAGCTCAGCCCCTCTCCAAACATATCATCTGTATTGAGTCAGAAAACACAGCATGCACGTTACGGTTCAAAACTAACTCAGATTGGAAAAGGCTAAGCAAAGAGCTTTGCTAAATAGAGAGTTTTAAAGCCCCATCTTTTGGGATTTCAGACTATATTTATCCAAATAGTATTTTCTCATCCTGAATACTAAATTGAGATGATTTTGTTATAACTATGTATTTCTTCTTTACAGGCCAGCACCTCACATTACTTACTAATTAGTGACAATTTGTACATCCTTTGCTATTATTTACATTTTTTTTTATCATGGCGGAAATGAAAGACTGTACCTTGGCAGCCCTGCACATACAATGAAAACGCTGAGCGTGCACAAGCCAACATCCACTGGAAACCCTCTGTATAAACTGCAGTTCCCAAAGGCCAGGAAGGGAGAATTAAGAGCAAACCAGTAAAGACTGACCCCACATTCCGTAAGTGTTTAAAATATTTATTATACAACTATTTACAAATATAAATTAGAAAAAACTTTCAGTGTTTTACATGCATATACTAATCTAAACCACATTTTTTGTTGTGCTTTTTTTTTAACATTGCACAGGCTACGTGGCCAACTTGATGGACCTCATCTTCGACCAAGTCTTTGTGGACCCTGCACCATTATGAGCGACCTGACAGGGACGAGGTCATCGCCGGGTATGCTACACGGTTCAATTTGGCTGCTGTCTGAACCCAACATCGAACATTTTGCGGATCAGGAAAACTCCTGCCTCCTTGAGGACAACGCAGGCCGGAATCACCACTCTGATCCTGCGTCCAAGGAAGCCCCAGCACCAGCTCACAAAGCTTCTGTGGCTAGATACCTGTGACGCCTGAAATCATTATAAAAAATATATTTAGTGTAATTTATACAAAATACAAGTACATTTAGTTTTTTTTATGGGTTCAAAGAACCGTTGATTTTGACAATAAAGTTCCGAGTTGATATCAAATGTGTCGTGATTATTCATGTTTGGATGGGTAAAGAATATTCTGATTTCAAAAGCATAAGGTTGTGTGTGGACTTTTGTTGTCGTACACATGGGTGTGTTATGCCATTGCTGTGTAGTATATAATAGTACATGTACAATGACAGAATGAAAGATTGCATAAAGCCATATACACCAGTATTTATTTCCATGAACAATATTGGCATTCGTTTTACAATTTCAGTCAAAACAAACAAACCACTCACTGCTCTATTTGCCTCAACTGTAGTCCACCATGTTCAGCTCTGTAAATATTCAATGCATTCTGCAGGGAGAACACATTCAGGCACACAGGCTCCAATCCAGGATGGTCCACCACAGGTTACAGAGTCCTCAAGTTCCTGCATCCGTCTTGACACCTAGTGTGATAAACATATATTGAATGACATGTGAAAATGTATTCTCTAAACAGACAACTTAGTGAAGCTATCAAAAAATGTTACCTGTGGTATCTCCATGCAGCACACATTCTCCGTTCAGAAGGCATCGTGGCGCAATTTGCACATGTACACCTGTAGAAAGAAGTCAATAACTGAGCTTTTAAAAACACATGAAAACTACACACATTGCTGACAACTGAGGTGTTGTTGGAGTTATACTTTTTATCACCCTAAGTTATTGAACTTTCCAACGGTTGTTGCACAATGTTGGAAGAAAAGGGACTGTAAAACCTATTAAATGCAATGAGGCCATTGTATATATAGCTGAAAATATGAATGTCTCCCTTTATAAATATATATATATGTATTGCTGTTTTTGCGTTACAAACTCTAAGTTATAAACTGTACACATTGCATTCTTGCTAATTAGCCAAAATATGAACGGAATAAGTAGCACGCATCGTAACAGAGTAAAAATAAATAGGGACAACAGCTTGTCAACTAACCATTCAGAAACGTCCTGCTGCAACCGAGATCTTTGCACCTCCACCAAAACCTCCGCTGCTTCAGGGTCAGTCTCTGGATCAAATTGATAATATGCTTGAACACATGCATTGCTCTGAGATGACATGTTTATTCCACACTCGTAATCACAGCAAGCATGGTAACGTGACTCTCACCGGCTCATGCCCCGCTCTTCTGCAGGGGGGCGTGGTCAGCTGCTGCTCAGAATTTTCAAAGACAGGCTTGGAATAGAGCGAAAATGAGCGAAACGAGGCATGGCTAAAAAATGATCTGTTTGGTATTTTGAAAAATAAAATGTATAAATATACCTTATATAGGTATGGTCATACACTATATCATTTAAATATAGCATGATAGGTCTCCTTTAAATTAAAAGGAAAAAAAATAGTTAAATTGTTACCTGATCTCCTGCATGGTGGAACTTCTGAGATAAGAAGTCTGAGTTCCTTACAATATGCACATCTGAAGCCCTCCCTCCCCAGCCTTTGGAGAGATATGTGATTGAGCCAGATGGGTGACATGCAATGAAATACTTCACTGTTGTCCAGTTTTTGTATTTTGAGTAGGTGATAGCTCTGTGAGAAGAGACAGTCGTTAGTAATACTTATCTATAAATTGTGTACATATACACAGACAGCCAGGTAAGTATTACAAAAACCCGACACTTTATGCATGCTATCAAAAATAAAAATATCTCACCTTGTTTTCTGCTTCTTTGAGTGTTCAATTCTGATCTCAAAGCAGTCGATAATTGCAGTCACTCTAGGGTACTGGAAGAGAACCTCTGCTGGTACTGTGCTTCTGATACACTCTCTATCAGGCCATTTAATCAAAAAAGAAATGTTGGCGTACATAACATCCAACCATCGGGAGAATACATCCAGGAAAGTGCTATGTGCCAGGTCAAATATTCCACACATCATATCGGTTGAGGGGTTCTGCCGCAGTTTCACCAGAGTAATAAAGAGCTGGTCTTGTGTTGACATCTTGGATGTTTTCTGTGACTTAACAAACTGTACCAGGTACTGATGAAGAGTGTCAAATACTGTCCATGACAGGCCTGTCATGACTTTACATTTAGTGTCATTTTCTCTCACAGTGTTTACCGACATTTTCAACGTCTCCAATTCTCTGATGGCTTCAGCTCGCTCCTTCATGGCCTCATCTCTTTCTCTTCTTAAATTATACAATTCTTCATAAAGTTGTTTTCTCTAACTCCTGAAGAGGTATGGGAGCTTCTGGTGCTGGGCCCTCTGATGTTGGGGATTCTGGTTGGGCAGACTGAACACCCTCACGCTTCCTCCTTCTCTCTAGCCTCTGAAGTACTGACCTGGGAGACTTTGTCTTTTTATGTGGGAACAGCGATGGTGTGTAGTCTGGGTGGGCTATGTCCTCGTTTTTTAAGCCTAGGGCAAGACAGTTCACAAACGAAATTAGAAGGGGATAGAAGGGGGTGAAATACATTTTAACTGCAGAAAGCTCAGAAGCTACCACCAGTGTTGTTAGCATAGCTGTGTTTTTGTATACTCAAGCAAGGTAGCCTGCATAACGTAGTAGTTAGTTAACTTCTCTTAAAACTAGTAATTGAACATTCATGTTAACTACGAAACAATCAGTGGCGTTTTTATATGTACAAAAGTGGTGGGGCACAAAAAACTTAGATGTCTATATATAAGCTTCTGCAGTGAGGTTCATGGCTGGTGAGGCTCTGACTCTTCAGGTTTACAAATATTATATTTTGACCTAAATCAAAATATCATATTATTTTCAAAAGCTTTTTTTGTCTGATGCTTCAATTCATTTTAAACAGACAGTTCAACAAAAGGATACCCAAAAATGTAATTTTATCATTTAAATATTGAATTGTTCTCTCTTAGTAAGATCCCATTTTCAATCAAATTGCAGTCTTACCTTGACATGAAGATGAAGTCCATTTGCCTATCCTTCTGGACAAAAATCTCCATTACTTTTTTGTAAAATTCCTCCTTATGTTCTTGTAGTTTCAAAAGTCTATCATAAATCTGATCTAATCAATAGATTTATGATTCGAAAATTATAAAAGTAGGGTAGACATGTGGATATTATCCGGCTGAACAAAACGTGCATTTATCTAACAGGTTTGTTTCCCACAGATCTTATTTGGAGCTATTTTCTAAAATCCTATGGAGAAATATCATTGCTTTTTTGTGGAGGGAAGCCATGCGCAGTTTATTTCCGGGTTGTAGGACGCCTCACTGCAGCTCTCTCTCCTCCTCTTCACACACCACACTTTTCGCGGCACACGTACTTACAGCCAATCAGCTCTGAATTATGTGAGATGACGTATGGTGGGGATGGCAGCACTATGCCCCTATGGTCATTATTTTTTTGCCACACACAATTAAATAGGACAATACTCTGAGCATGCGCAGTGTAGTTTTTACAGTCACCATTGACTTAAACAGGGAGAGGGAGGGGCAGGATCGGGTTTTGTCCCACATGGCTCAAAACAGCTCAATAGGCACACACTGTAGACACTAATTAGAAGAACACTGACTAAAAACAGCAATGTACAGACGAATCAGATGAATAAACATGATCTTAAAATATATTTTATATATTTTTTAATTTATCTTTTGCATTTTTTTGTAATCATTACTTTTAATACTTTCTGCTGACACTAGGTGGGGCTGTGCCCCACCTGCCCCTAATGACCAGTCGCCACTGGAAACAATGTAACACTGTTATTGTGTGAATAACGTTACCTGTAATGAAGTGCTGACTACAGACGTACACATGTTTGGATGTGACGTTTTGTGGGCGTTCCCTCGCTTGCCGACTGTATCTATTGGTCCTCAATGTACACGCCCCGGATTCCTATGACGAAAATAATAGAATGTCGCCAGTTGTCATGACTCAACTTATACTGCAACACCGGCCCCCCCCGATACCCGGGGGAAAAACGCGTCACTGCAGGAGACAGCGTCTGAGGGCTTCTTAATATTTAAAAACCTATGAATGTCTTATACTCAAATAACGGGAAAAAACTCAGCTACCTGACGATATGAGCCATTTTTACCGAAACAAACCACAAGTCTCACAAGAAGCGTTAGCATTAGCCCTTAGTGAAAACAGGCTGATGCTACTTCCGGTGCTAACTAGCAAAAACGATCTTTAAAACTTAATATGTTCTGCACAAACTACATATCAGCTGACAGCTGATACTCCACAGATTATTTTGATATAAGTATCATCACGGTAGGACACAAACTCACTGAGCTAGCAGCCAGAACAGAGCAAGAAAACAACAACAGTGTTCTAAACCATACAAATAATTATGTCTTACCGTTGCTGTTTTGTGATCAAAAGTCGTGTTCAAGGGAATAAAAACGCTGATCAAGGTTAATCCAATGTCTCTTAGTCACTTTAGAATTGTTCCTGATAATCCATCATTACATTCATGACCGCAGAGTAGGTAGGCCTATAACGTTTTGGAGTCCGGGGTTTAGGCTTTCTCACGTGCTGTTTACGCAAGCCTCTCTCTCCTTGACGTAAGTGTAAAGCGGGATTTACTAACTCCCCCTCGATTCTATTGGCTCCAAAGTTTCAAAAAAGGTGTCAATCACCCAAATCGACCAATGGGTTCCAGAGATAGGATCCTGCGTAGTATGAATAATACCAGCAGCGGCTGCTTTACGCACAGACGTAGCAGAAGCAGCCGCCCAACCGCTCCAGCACAGCAGCAACGAACACAGCGAAGCGACAACACAGCGACGAACACAGAGACAACAGCAGGCAACCCTGATTAGGAACATCAGGAAAGGTATGTACTCTCTCTGTTTGTATCTATTGTATTTGGTGTAATCTATAGTAATTCCACACTCGCAAAATACAAAATGGACGCCACTTTGTTGTTGTAGCGTTATCGTTCCGTGAGAAACTAAAACAATGGCAACATCATGTTGGTGAACGTATACATAGATTAATTGTATTTCGTGACTATAACACGGCAGTATATACATAAAGCTGTATTGTATATCAACCCAGTAGCCTATATATATATATATATATATACTGTTATTCCACACACGCCAAATGGATGCTGTTTTGTAGTTCTACAGACATTGACTATTAGCAGTTTATAAATAAAGCTGTATTGTATATCAGTCTATGTATATATATATATATATATACTATAGCGTGTGTGAAATAACAGTAGGCCTATACACATATGTGTGTATATGTGCTAAATGGAGGAATTATTTCTGATTTGAGTTACATTTTTGAAAGAATAATCCAGTGAAGTAATCAAAGTAATTGTTTTTTCCACATTTGTTTTCACAGTGATGAAGACAAGCAGTGGTGTGGTGGGGATTTTTTTACTGGGGGGACGCTATTTTAATTAGGTCATCCCAAACAATGCCACACAAGTGCGCACGCGCGCAGTGCACTCACAAAACGGGCAGACAGGTCCACAGAAACTACCGGTATGCTTAGTCCTACTTTAGTTACTGTACTTCAAAAAGCAGACCGCGCTGCGCTCAACACACACACATAGACTCAAAACCATGGACACACTGGCACATAAATTACAACAATTTATAGGCCTAAATTGCATAAGCTACAACTAAGCAGACAGCACTGCTTCTCTCTATCTCCACTTTCAAAATCTATTTAAAACTCATAACAAACAAACAAAATTCCCAAAGCTGTCCTGAAATTAACTTATTAAATAAACGAAACGAAAAATATAGCCTACTCATGCAAACATTGAATCTGGATTTGAAATGATTCTGATTAGGCCTAGCCTACATTGCAAATAAGCAGACAGCGCTGCTACACACACACACACACACACACACACACACACACACACACACACACACCACACACACACACACACACACACACACACACACACAACACACACACACACACACACACACACACACACACACACACACACACACACACACACACACACACACACACACACACACACACACACACACACACACACACACACCTTGCGTTTTGAAGACTGATAAATCCGAAATGGATGAACAGCAGCCCAGTTTCCCAGCTTTGCAGTCTATCCACAGGTAGCCTCTTGTTTCCTCCGTCCATACCTCTGGGAAAGGTGAACTTGAGCTAGCCAGGGGTATGCAGCTAACGTGCACGTTAGCTAGCATTATCCACGTCTTTAGGCGGCTCTTGATGATGTAGTGCTAGTAGCAGCTTCACTTGTAGCTTCGGTGCTGCTAGCCTCTTTCTTCTTGTGAATTATATTCTTTTTAGAAAATAAGTCAAGTAAAAAACGTTTTCCTTCCATTATAGAGCATTTTCGTTAGCGTTCTTGAGGGAAAGAGCTGCCGCAAAATCGGCGGGCGGTGAGCTGGCCGTGGGTGTGTCACTGACACACCCCCAGCTCGCCGCGGGGTCACGAGCGTGATGACGAATCATCATTTTTTAAGGAAATCGTTTTTATTTTTTATTATAGGCCATTACTGTGAAATGTATTGTGTTTTTGTCATTATTACAACAAATACACACTTGCAACTGATAAGACTGGCAATGATTTTATATTTATTAGACTATTAAGTGCTACTCAACTGGCTTTAGATAAGCCAGTCCTTTGTTAGTATAAAAGTGCTTTGTTAGTAATTGTATTGCTCGAAGTGGAGTCGAAAGAGATGAGTTTTTAGTCTGCGCCGGAAGATGTGTATGCTTTCTGCTGTCCTGATGTCAATGGGGAGCTCATTCCATCATTTTGGAGCCAGGATAGCAAACCCACGTGTTTTTGCTGATGGGAACTTGGGTCCCCCTCGCAGTGCGGGTGCAGCGAGCCGTTTGGCTGATGCAGAGCGGAGTGCACGACACGTGCTGGGGTGTATGGTTTAACCATGTCCTGGATGTAGGAAGGGCCAGGACCATTCACAGCATGGTACACTAGGACCAGTGTCTTGAAGTGGATTCTAGCAGTTACTGGTTTACATGCATAAAAAGCTACATAACACACAAGGGGACGGTTAATAACCGGAAAAGCATGTAATGGGACCTTTAAAACAATTAGAATGCAAGTGTAAGTACAAATTGGTGTAACATTTTATTATAAAATACTTTTCTTGTCAGTAAATTATCTGTTTAGTGTTTTGATGTTTCAAATGTGGCTTCATCTACTTTTGGTTCCCAGAGTCTCATTATTATGTAGCCTTGAGCATTCTTTATACACAACGGACCACTCTGCATCCAGCCAACTGGGCACTCAACTGTTCCCAACAGCTGTTCCACATTTAAGGGATGAGAGTTAACAAGAAACAACACTATGTCCTGAAAGAAGTCAGTTATTTCTCAGTGCTATATTTCATGACAAGATGAACTTTTGACTACCTCTATCTTTTAATTTCACTAGTCTGACTGATTTACATCCTGGAGAAGCTTCAAAGTAAACTCCAATCGCAGGGCTAACAGATTCTGATATATTTGATGACTGAAGAACTTTTTGAACAGTCCACCATGCATGAAATGTGTAGGTGCTGCTGTCTTAGAGTACAAATGTAGTTGTGACTCATGAGTGTCATAGGCTTTCTTCTCCTGCACCGCCCCACATGGGCAGCAAAGAAGGTGGAGGCTCAAAATAAATCACTGCTGGAGGGCTACATATATCAAAAGTTTTTGTCCACTATATCTATGTAGTGCATTTGGACTTTGACAGTAAGGTACAGTTTGAGAAATGTAACACATTACTTTTTACTCAGACAAGAAGCAGTTGTTGAACTATATAACATAATGGAATTGTGTGTGTGAAAAACTCAGGGCAAAACAAAGTCATTGAGGTTGCCTTGTTTTTTTTTATTTCCCGGAGGATTCAGGTAAGTCTCTTTTGAAACCTGAATGTCACAGCAGAGTTGGTGTGTATTCAGGTCACTTTTGTTTGTTAATATTGTGTCATTAGTTAAAGATTAACAATAGGGATAACAGCTGTCAACTCCTATACTTTGGAATATTGGATTCTCCTTTATTGAAATGAGAGCAACATACAATATTTAATCATCCTTCTGTGAATGACAATGTCAAGTGGGTGTTATTTATTATTTTAAGCTAATTTAGCCCCACTGGAGTCATTTTACTATAATTTCAGAGGCATCACTGCAGGAAGGGAGTCACTGCGCTGCAACCTCATGACAAGGGGATTTCAATTCACTGGATTTTTCTTCTGTAAAAATGTTTTTATATATCAATCGATACAAATATTTGGTTGAAGAGCAAACAAAAATCACGAGTTGTCCTATTAATAATGCTGATTTTAATCAGATTGTCATAGAAAAAAAATCACAGCAACCAGTAATGCCCTTTTGTTATAATAACATTTAAATAATTCAGAACTGTAGATGGAAGGCTGTTCAACATCCAGGGTTATAATTTTACATGAATTAAAATACAGTCTTGGATATTAGCAACTACACATTGATCCTTTTAATAGGGGATTAGTTATTCTTACTTATTGTCCCCATGGATCTTTCGTTGTGTCCTGTAAACCTCAGGCTACAGGGTGCATTTAATAGAACTGCTCAGCATTAATATTTTGGCGTTTGGTCTGATTGATTGGCACACTTCCCTGCAGGATGTCAGCCATTATCATAATAGCCAACCAAATCGCTATTACAGAAAAAGGACCATGCATTTACGTTCTTCAGGAAACAATAGCTTTCATTATGCTGCATTACTCAGGTTTATAAATTAGTCCCATAAACTAAAGTTGGTATTTTGTGTGAAGCTATATAAGACAGCGATAAAAGCCATAAAGGATATTTGCTGAGGCATTTTGCATTATGCTCAGTAGAGTCAAAATAAGGCAGCATATGCTTCTGTGGTTTTTGTGACATCGTTAGCATAAATAATTAAGAAAATAACTGTGCTATTAATGCTGCCTATCGTCTTAAAGACCAATATATCCAAAACACAAAAAGCTAATTTTGTTAGGTTTATGCTTCACCTGATACAAATTACACTGTGTAGTAGTTTATATTTAAATCTACCAGTTGTCAAGGGATAACTGGTGTATGTGTTATTTCATTCAATCACTTTTAAAGCAAATTGCATGCATTGATTTCACTGTTGCTTTGAAAAGACCGCTGGTTGTGAAAACAGTGAAGAAATGTCTGAGGTATCCATTACTCAGAACAGCTCAGGCATTGTGATAGTCGAGCGCCTGATCTCTTTCATCTTGTTCATAATTCCTTAGGTTATTATGAGTCGAATATTAGAGGCTGCCAGTCTTCTCTCCCATCTGCACAGTGCACTAACACAAAATAGAGTTATTGTAATTATAGCTTTCATGCATGGGAAGGTTCATTTTAGGAGGTAACTTGAAGGGCTCAGAAAAAAAAGAAATCAATGTTGTGACTGACAAGTGAAGGATGGAAAATATCTCACTGTCTAAGCCCAAAACTCCTCTGTCAGAAAACCAGAGTGTAAGGGTCAGTATTGACGGTATTATCACAGCTATTAACAGTAGAGGGAGCTTCAGTTATGCAATCACGACAAGATGAACTTTTCAGGACCCCTGTATAATGCATGCTTGTCATGGAACATTGGATGTTGACTTGTTTTTAACAGTGAATTGTCCCCTCTGTATCCCAACACTTACTCTCTCATTCCACTGCAATAAACGATTTCCTCAGAAAAATAAAAACCGAAGAAGGAAAGGCAGCTCTCCCAGCACCCAGAAGGAATTTATGGGAGATCAAGACTCCTTTTCCGGTGTGAAACCAAAGGCAAGGCAATAGTCTCAAGCTTGTTTCAGTGTAAACAGTTCACAGGCGCTCACCCTGTTAAATTTCCATGGAGCAGGTCCAGAGAGTGCATCTTGATAACATCACTGACGGCAATATTCTCTGTGGTCTGTGATATAGGATTTTAAGATAATATACCATAAAACTATATTGATCCTTTTGGGGAAATTATTAACAACAAAATATGAGAATAAAGTGGGACGGAGTGTTTTATAGAATCTGGAGGAAAATAATAGGATACTAGCATATAAACCAAAAACTGATCAATAAAATCAGGAATAAAACAACAAAAATAACGATAAAACAACTCCATGGAATTGTTGCAGGAGATATTATGTTACTTACTGGTTGTAGCACCAATATACAATATCCCTACATTTCAATTTGTATGATAACTTGTGTAAAATCTTTAACTGAGTCAATTTTAAGCACATGCTCTCTGAAGTAGTGACAAAAGCTAACTGCTTTTATCTAGTCTTTTCTGTTACTATTCTGTGAAAGATCCACAGGGAAGTTGTGTAATGTGCATAACCAGTCATGTGTCATGTGCAATAATTAAGAGGAGCAATGCCAACATATCACCTCTGACAAATGTATGTCATTTCCATGGCTACGGCTGTACAGTCTGTTAAGTATTATGTAGGCTAAGTCAAAAGGCTTAGAGCAGCATGATACACAGGGCTACTGCTCTAAAACACATTTTGTATGTCCCCTGTGTCTCTCTCTGTGTGTGAATACAGTCACAGTTGCAGTTTTCCCAGCTAAATGAAATATCACTCTAATATTCTCAACATCTCCCAAAAGGGGCTTGTAATATTGTTTTAATTGTATTGCAGGATATTTTATTTTATTAAATTGTATTTAAAATTGCTCTTAGCCTACTCTCGTGGGCCACAAATGATGACATAACATGATGCACATTTCACTATATATTTTCTGTGATATAATGTATTTTCCTGTAGTATTCTTATTGTATGCACCACATTTAAATTTAAATTGCACTTTTACACTCGCAGGTTATAAATTATGACATCAAATGATGCACATTTGAGTATACTTTCTGTGATATAATGTATTTCCCATAGTATTCCTATGGGATGCACCTGCGTCACCATCAGTTAGCTCCATTTCCAGCAAATGCTCAGATTGTTAATTTTCTTATGGGGAATAAATAGGGGGTGTTTCTCCAGTCGATATCTTTAATTGCTCCTGGGTTGTATCAATACCTACTCGTTTTAACTGCTCCATCACCAAGCCACTGGGAACGGGTTGCCCGGGAAACGGCCGCATGGCAACAGGATCAGAGCCTGGGGGTTGTCTGCTTCTAGGTCTGCTCCCATTTTACATCGCGTTTCCTCACTAGATGGTGTGCAAGCCACTGGAGAGTACACTTCCCCGCACAGTGGGCTCCACATCCAGCAAAACAAACCTGGGAAACTGTACTGCGGACCATTTCTTTACGGGGCTCCGAGGAGGAAAAGTGTGGAAATAAAAACGACGTTTCTTTTTTTGAACTCCTTGCTTAATCGAGACAAGAAGACTTGGGGGAAAAGCGGCAACACAACACAGCTGTCATGGACATAATGTTTGCGGTGCAGGATGCTTGTGTCTCTGGTCAGTGGCTAACTGCGATAATACTCAGCTTGTGCTGCTTTCTGCCGTCCTGTTTGCCCGCTGGACAAACTGTGGACTATCCCTACTCGGTGGAAAGTGTGGTCAGCAGACAAGGCGACACGGCTCTTCTGAGGTAAAACAAGCGAACACAACTTCACTTTCTCCCGCTCACACTCACTCTCTGTCGGGGGCTCTCTAAAGCTCTCACCCGCACACGCTCCTTAACACCAGTTAATCGTTTTAAACATGTCTCTTAAGTACTTTTAAACGGGGTGTTCGCACAGCGCCTGCGATAAACACACAATAGGCCATTTCCCTCCATTCCGTCCTTGTTTTCGCTTGACTGGGGGTCGGTCAGTGCTACGCAGGACGCCGCTCCTGTGCAGAGGCAGGTGCAACGGCAAAGTTTTCTAACATACTTTCCCTCTGTGCACATGAGCTACCAGCGTTGTTGTGTTATTAGGTGTGCGTTTGATTCTATAACCTCTTGCAGGTGGGAACATGTCGCCTGAATTAACCAAATTAACAGCCCAACATAGCATATCACTTCTTACATGATAGTCGTTCCCACATTTTCAGGAGCGGAAGATCGAAAACAGAACTATTTATTTAGTGCCGTCCTGACAGTTTTGCAGAATGTAGTGTACAGTGTGATGTCGCAGTTTAAAAAGAGGCTGAAGAGTGTGTTTGTGGTGGCTGTTTATCAGAATCGAGTTATGGCAATGACGCGCTCTCTCCCCCATCCTCCCCTATCCTCCCCTATCCTCCCCCATCTTCCCTCCATCACGTATGCTACGTTGCCAGATTGAGCTGCCTCTTAATACACACACTGACTGGGCATGGGCGTGGACTAGTGCACTTTGGGAGTTTTTGCACATTTTATTCTTAGCACATCACCAACAATGTCAAAATAGTTTACAGTACTTTCAATGCGAATGTATCAATACCATTAATACTAGGAAAACACATCAGTGTAGTATATTTCAGTTATTCAGAGAAATCATAACTCTATACTAAACACAGGACATTTTTTTTAAATCTTTGAAAAGCTATGTGATAATATCTTGTTCTACCAATATCAAATATCCGCTGTGATGGCTCTCAGAAAAGGCTGAGGGGGCAGGCCTGCTCCATTTCAATATGAATTGTGTGGATGTTGACTGAGAGATGCTCAGTGTGGCCCTGAATACAGAGCAGCTAACCGTCTAAAGTTCCACTCAGCTTGGCTTTTAGTCATTGTTGTCTCATACTTGATTACTGAAGAGCTGAATTGGTTCTGTGGCATAAGGTCATCATAAGTGGCTGTAAGATAAGTGTTTTACTATGAGTGTGGTTTAAATGTGTTGCTACTTATCATCACAGAATTACCTTGGCAACAGCTAAGGGGCGCTCACTATTTTTAACATGTTTCTAACCATGCCTAAGGGCCGTCGCATCAAAGAGACTTACACCTCTGCTCTGACTGTCTCTTAAGAGAGGGCGTCTAATTCCCTGGTGTCAATCTGTGTCGACTGTGATCAGTAGCAGAAGCCACGCCTGAATCCCTATGGTTTATTGGACCAGAGATTATCCCTGGGCTATGAATCAGCTCAATAAACAAGTTGCCTCCCACCCCTTGAGTAAGGCAACACTCAACAAGCGGGTCATCGCCTCAGTTCATGCCTTAGAAATGGATAGGGAAACCATGTTCAAGATGCATCCATTACCAGGTTCTTACGGTTAATTAATGGTTATTCAGCAGCACTCGCTATAACCAGTTATTGGCCTTTTCTCATTCACGTGAACGTCTCCACTGTGAAGTTATCACTTTGCTGAGCCTGCACCTGTTGACCTTATAGAGATTGCAAATCTCTTAAACTGTTCTCCTTGCCTCTTGAGATTGCATCCAGTTGCAAAACACTGTCATCACCAAAGTGATAATAAAGGCCTACTGTGTCTTGTTTCAGTCATGTTCTCATACCACGAGGAATCATGGCTTAGTCTTTTCTTCCTTCTTTCTTCCCCCCCCCTGGTCTTTAGAGACGGGCATTAAAGCATGAATAATTTCTTTTAGCAATGTTGTGCAGAAAACAGTGCTTGTTTGTTGCGTTTTGAGACCTCAGACTATTAGAAGGCAATTTTACTGTGGCCCTTAGCTGATTTCTGGCTAAAAATGTGAGCACTTTCAAATACTGACAAACCCAGAAGCATGCAATTAGTCACTGCCTCTGGATTATGGAGTAGCTCCCGTGAGGTGCGTCCGCTGTCATATGTTCATTTCCCCCACCTCTTTAATTCTTAGCGCCGCATTACTGCTGCCCTGATTCACGTTGGACAGTGGGTCCACATCAATTAAATGATTTGAACTTCTTGACAATGAGTAATGGTACGCATGTGCATCCTCACCCTTTTTTAATCTTTTTTGATTAGTTTAAAGCTAAGCCATTCAGCCTCTAACGATGGACCTTGTATTTGAAATGAATCCGGCTGCTGCTTCTACAATGTTTTACGTCAGTGCATTCATGTTATGCACGCATGCTGCATTCTTTTACATGCATGCAAGCTATGAGCTTCCATAGAGACCCCATTGTTTAAGATGAGCCACGCATTCCTTTCTCCCCACATCCTTCTGCTGTTTTCATGTCATTTGGATTCAGTTGAACAAACCTCGACTCTTCCCAGTAAATGTCTCATCTGGCTATGAATTTTAGGGGGACAGCCAGATGAAAAGACAGTTCCCCATGCTGTCAGGAAACACACGGTATCAGTGGCAGCCTCTTCCACATGAATAAACAGCTGTAATCAACAGCAAAGAGCGAGTGTCTAGAAATGTAGTCCGGGCAGATTGAAATCTTAAGCATTTGCTGCTATCATACAGATGCCATTTGCAGTATTATTCTTAAAGTATGTTTGTCTTTTTATCCTGGTATTCTATGTTTTCCAAATGAATTATGTGTAGTGCGAGAGCTAGACAAAAGGTAAACTGATTGTTCTTTAAAAGTGACATTTTATATTTTTCAAAGGCAGAAAATAGGAACCAGGGAAATAAATAGGAGCAAGGCTGTACACGGCAAGAATAAAACAATGATCCAAGCTTATTTTCGTCATTTAGTTTGACAGTTGGCCCACAGCCACAGAATAAGGCCTGCACCACGGGCCCTAGTCTCTGTAATGGTGCAAAATTGACCTGTCACTAGTTTGAAAGTCTGGTATTCGTATAAATCTAAAATTATTGCCTCATGTCAACAGACCAGTTGATGAAAATCTTTTCTGGCTGTACATGATTGTACTCGAGCTGCGTTTTTTTTGCCTTATCCAGCACATAAAAAACACTGCCATGTATCATTTTCCTCAACTGTTTCACTATTATGGCTTTGAAAGGTCTTGACATTCTCTATAAGCACTTGAGCCAGAGACAACATCCAGTTTAAATGGCTTGGTGTCCCCCCCCCCCCCCCCCAGAAATATATCAAGTGTTAAAACTCCACAGGACACAATATGAAGAAATAATTGTTGACTATATCCTTAACACAGACCATAACCATGGCTGCCAGGCTCCCTCTGCATTTTTTGCATTTCATCATTTTTTTTTAATTAGGCCACAGCCAGCCAGTTCTAAAAAGAATAGGCTTCTTCATCTCCAACAGCCTGGTTAGCTGCCAGATATTCATGCATTCATTTGGGGAAAGCTACCTCTTCTGACATATTTGTAGGCACACCTGAGTCTGTCAATGTTAATTAAATGCCAAAATTCCCTCGCTTGTTTGCTAACATGTTAAATGCGATCAATGTAGCTGTCAGCACAATGTTGCTTTGTTTCTTTGCTTTGTTGCACAGTCTTATGCTCATCGGGGTCCGGACATCTCAAGGATCAAGTGCCGGGCAAGTAATATGACATCATTTCTGGAGAGTGAATATATGGTATCATGATGCAAAACAATGAGCATGGGGAGGGGCTCCCAGATGAAGTCACTCAGGCACAGATACAATAAACATTGAGAAACTCATGCTTTTTTATGTAAAATAAATCTGACCTTTTCTTTGAAACACAAGAAAGCAGGCATATTGCTACCGCTGTGGGTCTGTGCCCTGTTGCCCAAGGGAAGCTGGATATACTAAAGTATTAATCAGATTCATTACTCTGGCATCCATCTTCAATTGATGTTCTTCAGTACAGCTGGAAATAAGCCAGTAAGGTGACGAGCCAGATCAGCGGCTGAGAAGTCTTTCATAGCGGCTGCCTCCTCCTTAAGACCTCCAGTTAACCTCCGCAGCAGCATCCACTTGAAAGTCAGAGCCTGCTGAATTGTTTTGAATTGTTTGTTTCTGAAATGAGCGTTATCCCTCAAATAAGACCAGAATTAATCTCAAATATGTGTGGCATTTTTTCTTTTTTTGTCAAGAAACAGAAGGACACTTTCATGACATAAATCAAATGCTCTTTGGATGAAAATGAGCCATATAGTGGGGTTCACTCATCTCATTTAAAACCTATACACTGTATACAGAAAATCCAAACCAATTATCTTTATTCTTGCTTCCTAATTAACACATTTTAGGAAGATGATAGAGATTTTTAAGATAACCCCCATTATTTACCGCCACGTGTTGTAACTACACTGAACAAAAATATAAATGCAACACTTTTGTTTTTGCTCCCATTTTTCATGAGATGAACTCAAAGATCTAAAACATTTTCTATAAACACAAAATAACCATTTCTCTCAAATATTGTTGACAAATCTGAAAAAATCTGTGATAGTGAGCACTTCTCCTTTGCCGAGATAATCCATCCCACCTCACAGGTGTGGCATATCAAGATGCTGATTAGACAGCATGATTATTGCACAGGTGTGCCTTAGGCTGGCCACAATAAAAGGCCACTCTGAAACGTGCAGTTTTGCTTTATTGGGGGGGTCTGGGGGGGTCCGAAAACCAGTCAGTATCTGGTGTGACAACCATTTGCCTCACGCAGTGCAACACATCTCCTTCGCATAGAGTTGATCAGGTTGTTGATTGTGGCCTGTGGAATGTTGGTCCACTCCTCTTCAATGGCTGTGCGAAGTTGCTGGATATTGGCAGGAACTGGAACACGCTGTCGTATACGCCGATCCAGAGCATCCCAAACATGCTCAATGGGTGACATGTCCGGTG